CCCCAGGGGCTCGGGGGTCCACGCCTCCACCACGCCTCCCCGTGGCCCGTCCCTGACCCTCACCCTTGTCTTCTCCCTGCCACCCGGGCGGGAAGTCTGGGGCCTGGAAGGGCCTCCCAGGGACCCCACGGGGTTTACAGCCCTCCGGGTGTGGAGTCTCCAGCCTCAGGACCACAACCCAGAGGCCCAGGGGCATAGATTCAGGTTCAGGCGAAGGCAGCCTCGGTACAGGCAGGGTCTCTGGGGCCACTGCATAAATCACAGGTTCAACCAGAGGCCAGGTTTGGACCGTCACTGTGGTCATTAAACAGAAATCATGGATTTATTAAATAAGGCCCCTTCGCTCCCTCACCCTGGAGACAAAGCCCAGGGTGACGATAAATCTCACGTCAGGAAGTGGGGGGCATCCCTCCTGCCCCTCCCGGAGATGGAGTGGCCCCTTCATCACGGAAACTCCTCAGCCGTCCCGCCAGCCTGCCGCCTCCCCCAGGCTAAGGGCCTCAGTGAAGGGCCTGGAGGCAGCGACCCCGAGTCCCTGTGCCACCCCGGCTCACCCAGCTCTGTGCCATGCTGCGTTTCAAAGCCAGAGCTCAGGGCACCCCCAGGACCCTGCCCAGACCCCCAGGGCCACTGAGCCCCATGGCCAATGGAAGCCAGGGACTGTCACTGCTTGGGGTGAGGAGGGGAGAGGCCTGGCCAGCTAGGAAGCCAGCTGGGCCACAAGAAAGCCACCAAGCATTCATCGCTACCAGTGCCACATGGTGGCAATGACATGTTTTAGGACACTTCTGCTGTCTTCCCTCCATCTGAGCAAGCTCCGTGTGGGCAGGCACCAGCACCGTGGCGTCCTAACCTCTCCGGGCATTTGCTGCCCACCCAGCTGCCCTGTGAGGCTACCCCCCTCACCCCAGGCCTGCTGTCAGCAGCACTCCACAGCTGGGAACAATGAGGCAGCACGAGGCAGGATGCCACCCTCAGATGAATGAGGGACCCTCCGCTGCACACTGGTTAAGAGAGGGACATCAGTGGTGCCTCACGGGGTCACTTACTCCATGACCATCCTCAGGACCCAGTCTGACCCGCAGGACCCTCAAGACACCCCTCTGCCCAGCTGCTCCCTGCTGCCCCCCTGCCTGGCCCACTCCTCCTCACGCCCCTTCCCAATCCACTGCTCCCTCTCCCCCTGGCCTCAGCCTAGTTGCTGGGGCTCCTGCCTGGACTGGCCTCCTTGGCTCTCCTCTCCTGTCCTCTGTTTCCCTGGCGTCATTCCCAGACCACGGTCTCCCTAGACCCTGGGTGTCCACCAGGCCAAGACAGAGGTGCAGTCAATGACAGCTCTACGTGGTGTCACCCCTGGCCCAGGGACCCTCAGAGGGGTGACACGGGCACAGACACACACCCACGTGGCCTGCTCTGTCCGAAGGCTGACGTTCTCCCATGTCACACGGGCAGGGCTTCCAGGACCTCAGGCACAGTCACCTCCAACCTCCCGGCTGGAGAACTAGCCTCCCCTACCCTGGGGCAGACACCTCGCAGCAGCCGGGCCAGGCCTCAAGGAGCAGGGAGCCTCAGCCCCAGCCTCCATACTGTCCAAATCCACCAACCTGGCCCCAAAAGACAGTCAGAGACAGTGGCCCAAATCCACCAAAAAATACAGCAGGCAGCCTCCAACCACAGGCCCCGTGCCCCCACGGAATGAGCCACCCAGAGCCAGCGCCACAGGGAAGGGGGCGCTCCTGGTGCCGGAGGCCACCCAGGCCCTGCACCCACCACCTCCCCAATGAACAGCCTGCCAGGGCCCACCTTCAACAGAGGCCAGGGCCTGAGGGAAGGAAACCACGTGAGAAGGAGCAGGTGGGGACCCGCGGCACCTTCTCCAGAGGTTCTCGTGGTGGCTTTTCCAGTCTCCCCGAGGGACGGCAGCTGGGACCTCACATGAACACTCTGCCCAGAAACGATGCCACCCCCGTAGTGGAGGCTTGGGGCCCGGGTGCCCAGGGGTCATCCGATGCACAGGTGGTCAGGAGGGCTTCCAGGGGGGCCCATGGCCCTCACCCTCTGTGCTCTCCCCCACGAGGGCTCAGCTGGGCTCAGACCAGCAGAGGAACCCAAGGTGCTGAGCAGAGGGGGACGGCGCTGTCTGCTGGGGGTGGTCCCTCTACAGACACCGTGCTGAGCCCTGCAGAGGGGCAGGGGTGGGGGCCTGCAGTCAGGCAGCCCTGGTGCCAGGCCAGCATTGCCCGTGTGGGGCTGGGCGGGTCACCTCACCTGGGCCCCTGGTTCCTCATCAGGTAGGGCCTGCAGCCCGGGGCAGATGGGAGGGGTAACAGGGGTAAAGAAACCCCGGGAGGGGCCCAGAGCAGGGGTAGGAGTTCATCCACCTCTTCCAGGTCCTCAGAGAAGAGCCAGGGAGGGACAGAGCCCAGGGACAGTGTTTGGTGCTGGGGGCAGGGTCTGGCTGGAGAAGGTCAGGCTGGAAGTACCCGCCGGCCCTTTGGGTAACGCACCTCTGCTTCCCACAGCAGCACAACCAGACGGATGGCGGGAACCCCACGCCCAGACGCCGCCCCAGGACCTGTGGCCCAGCTGCCAGGCCTTTCAGTGTGGCCCAGCGAGGCCCGAAGCCTGGGATTCTAGGACCAACTGCCCGGTTTTTAAATATTTGCAGAATGTGGTCCAGGTCAAATAGAGCAGGACTCAGAGCCAGCCCCGGCCCCCAAGCCACCCATCTGCCACTTCCCTCTGGCCCCCCAAGTCCCCCGCCCCGGTGCCCGCCCCCCTGCCGCCCACTTACATCTGCACGTGGGGCGGCTGGAAGCGGCCCTGGTTGATGTTGTAGAAGGTGAAGGCCTGCGTGGGGTTGGAGCTGTACTCGTCCACCTCGACCATGAGCCGGCTGTGCTGGTGCCGCCGCGCGGCCATCACGTGGGACTGGGAGAACGCCATGCCCAGGCCGCAGGGCAGGAGGGCCAGGGCCTCGGCCTTCAGGACACCGGCATCCCACCTAGAGCGCCACATGGACCTCCGCGGGCCACCCGGGCATCTCCCGCTGCCACCGCCGCCGCCGCCGCCGCCCGGCCCCCAGCCAGACCTGCAGACAGACTGAGGAGACGGAGCAGAACCGTGCGACAGTTAATCTGTTTGGGATTTGCTTTATTTAATGTCAGATGAAGATTTAGAAAGAGGGAGAGGGCGGGGGGAGAGGGAAAAAACACAGTCGTACGCCTCAAAAACTCATTACAAATCTTTCCAACTCAGCAGTTTGATGAATATACTTTGGTAAAAAGAAAAGGGAAGGGAGGGAAAGAAAACAAACAAGCCAGGGCCGGCAAGTCCGCACCTCCAGACCCTGCCACCGCCACCGCAGGACCCGGGACAATGGCTGGTATTTTGTAAACAGGGAAGTGAAGTTTTACTTTCCACAAGGAGGGGGACAGGAAGGATTCCCCTGCGGCCACACCCCTCCCCTCAAACCCCCAAACCCACCCACCGGGGCCCCACACCGCACCTGGCAAGCCCCGACAGGTGGAGAAATTCCTTCCTCCCCATCAGTCAGTTCTGCCTCAAGAGCCTTTAGCAGCTCGGAAGGCGGGAAGGGATTTTCCCAGGGACAAGTGCCACTCACCTCCGCAGCACAGGGCTGCCTGCTGCAGGGTGAGGGATCACTTGAAAATAACCCTTCCTTCCCCAGCCCAAGGCCCCACCACCCTCTGCCCATCAGGAATCCTGAGGTTCCGTCAATCCTGGATTCCTCTGAAATCGCAGCTGGCAATGCTGTGATTTCTAGATTTTTTTTCCTCTCCTTGGATTTCTATTTACTGGGCTAAAAGGCCCCTCTGGCAGATTCCAGGTGGAATTCGGGAAAGGAGCCTGTGAGACCCCTCCTACCCCGACACGCCCAACGGTCTGGCCGATGCCTGGGCACTCCCACCACCCATTTCCCTCGTTTCTTTTCATAATTATATATATATTTAACTGCGTATGTAGGAGATGCTTTGAAGATTTTTTTTGTCGTTGTTGTTTTTCAGGTTTGGGTCGTTAAGACCCTCTGACAATTCCATTTACACTGTATTTAACCAAGGAGAAAATAATGTAATTTAAACTAGTCCTGGACAGTCGGATCCCAATCACGTTGGAGAAGGAAAAATCCCCCTTGCTTTGCGCTTGGTAGAAGAATCGACACACTCGGAAAACAAATTAGATAAGGAAAACGACAAAAATTAGAGACTGGAGAACATTTTAATTATGCGCAAAGGAGAAATGGGTTATTAATTTTTTTTTTAAATCTCGGCCATCCTCATACAAGGTAAAAATGAAATGATGTGGTCCTCCCCCTCTCCAACCCAGCCCCCCAAAACCCACCCCCACTCACACCACCCCCTTCCCACTCAGAAAGTCCAGGAGAAAAAATAAATGTGTTTCCCCGATGAATTTGCTCCTTCTCTTCGTCACTAATTGTCCCTAAGTGGACGTGTGCATTGAAGGCTGGGGAGCCAGGTCTCCTGACCGTAGTGCTCACAGAGGCAGCCTGTGCCTGTCCGCCTGGAAATGCTGCCAGGCACCAAGAAGCTAGGGGAGAGGCCAAAGATGCCAGAAGTGAGGATCTACCTACCCTGAGCCAGTCCCACCTGGGTGTGATGGGGACTTGAGCCCCAGCATTGTGCTGGCTTGCTGTGTGCCCTGGGCCAACTTGCTGACCTCGCTGAGCCTCAGCTTCCTGTTCTAGAAAATGGATTTGATAATAGTAATGCCACCATCCAAGGTGGGTGTGCCAGTTAAAGAGGAATTCAGCCAGACTCCTGAGCACAATGCCTGGCAGGCACCAATACCTGGCTAAAACTGGCTGGACGATTGTAATCACTACTCAGTTCAGTTGGCTGCCTGGGCTCGGGGCCTGCTACGTGCCAGTGCTGCCCGGGTGCTGGAACACCCAGCGCAGGGCTGTGGAGCGTGAGCCCTGGGGCTGGCTCAGCTGCAGAAAGCACCTACCTGTCAGGGCCAGGAGCTTGAGTCTTCCTCAAATGCACGCCTGGTGTGCTTGGCACGCCTCTCTGATGAGGACCCTTGACCACTCGGCCCCGCGGGGCCTAGTTCACCCACACTCGGCCACCCAGGCCAGAACCCCCGCACACTAGTGCACCCCGTCGTCTTGGCAAAGAGTGCCGGGCTCTTGTTCCAAGCCACTCTCTGTGAGGCTCTCCACCTATGAGGCAGGTACTGTCCTAGCCCCTACTTTACAAGTGAGAAGGCACATGGCAGGAAAGGGAGCCTCTGGCCCTGCCTTTCCCAGCGCAGGCTGCCTGGCTCCCAGGACCAGCTCCCTCCCACCTGGGCCATTCTGCCCTCCTCTCAGCCAGCTAGAACCAATGTGCCCTTTTCTCACACCAGGCATGGCCTTGATCAGGGCCCTCATTGCAGGGCCTGTGAAGAACCAGGATGTCCCCTGAGGGTAGAGCTGGGTCCCCTTCACTCACCCCTGTATGTCACCAGCTCTGTGACCCTGAGCAATTGGCCTAACCCCCCAGAAGTTGCTTCCTCAACTACAAAATGAAGAGGACAACACTCCCTAACAGAGTCAAGAAGACTGAATGAGGTGGCATGTAAACAGCCTGTCACAGGGCCTGGCGCGCAGTAAGTGTTCGATAAAGGTCAGCTATTATTCTCACCCTAGAGCCCATCACACATGCTGAACGAGTGAATGTCCGGATGGAGGGTGGATGGAGGATGGATGGAGGGATGAAGGAAAAGGAGGATGAATGAACAGGTGTGCAGATGGACGGAGCTCGTCCTCTCAGCCTGTCCCTGGTGCCACCGAAGGCCTGGCAGAGGATAGGGGTGCAGCCAGTTGACTAAATCCCGAGGAGCCCTGGGCCCCTGCGCCTCACCTACCCCAGCAAGGGGGCCGGCCAGGCTGGACATAGCCCTCATGAAAGGCAAGTCATGAAAGGGACCCAGGGGACAGCGGCGGTGGCGGGACTCCGCACCAGATGCCTCAGCCGCAGGAAGGCGCGCGTCCCGGGGCCCTGGCTCCGCAGTGAAACGCTGCGTTTCCCATAAAGAGGGTTCGCAGTGGCCCCGCTTGGAGAAATCAGGGGGACCGGGAGCGCGGAGCCTTCTTTTAATACCCATTTAATATTTATGGAGCCGCAGCAGCCGCCAGCCGCGAGCGCGCGTGCGGGGAGCCGCGCTTCCTCCGCCGCAGCCGTCCGCGGGGGACAGCAGCGTTTCCAAACAAACGGCTTTTAGCTGGGAAGCGCTTACACCTGGTCCGCGAAAGACCGCAGGCCAGCGCGGGGACGCTGAGGGACACCGCGGGGCTCCCGCCCTCCCGTCCAGCCCCGCGGAGTGACCTTGAGCAAGTCACACGCCCCGGTGCGCGACAGGCGCCTCCTTAGCGCGGTGGGGGAGGGCGAGGCGGGAGGACCGGCCTTGCAGGAACTAGGCACTTCCGTTCTCGGGATCACCGCCAGAGTGCTGCAGGCTGTCACCGCTCTCCCTGCCCAAAGGGTGTGACAAAACAAGGTCCTGCCTGGAGGAAGATGATGGGGGACAGAGGTCAATAAATATGCAGAAGGAGAGCCTGCAGGTGACCATGTGTACATGGCAGACAGCAGGAGGATGAGGTGCCGAGTGACCAGAGTGTGACCTGCCAAAGGAGTGACATCCCCTCATACACAAATGGTGAGAGGGACAGCAACAACCAGACCTGGGGAGGGAGCCACAACACGGGCGGGCGAGAGCAGTTTCAAGGCTTCCTCCCGGGCTAGCCTGGCACCCGAGCCTCCATAAAGGCCCAGGAACCCCGATCTGGAGGCTCGCGGGCTCTCCTGTCCAGCACCTGTTGAAGATCCCACTCATTTTCAGGGTTGGCTTTTCAAGTCTTATCTTTTTGCAAGCAGCTTTCCTCTCAGAGGCTTGCATTTGCTGAGGTGCCAGGAGTCCCATGGGGCCGGGCACTCAAACAAGAACCTGGGTGTTAGCCAAGACTCGAGGCACAAGCAGGCATGAGGCGCCGACTGTCCGGAAGGACAGCTAGGGAGGAGGTCTGGCCTTGCCCTCCCCTCTGACCACACTCCCCAACCTTTTCTGGGCTCTGCTGCTCCGGGCTCTCCATTGCCACAGCCACCCACATCGGCCTCCAGGAGGGTCCTGAAACTCATTCAGAGCGGGCCACTCCTCAGGCACACCCCAGTCCTCAGAGCACCTGCTGCCTGCAGAAAGCCCGGCCCTGGGGCCAGCCCCAGAGCCCACGTCAGCCCCAGCTGGACCACAAGGGGCTCCCTGACACACCTCGAGTCCTATCGGAGCCTCCACAGGTGCTCTTCCTCCTGCCTGGAGGACTCCTCCTAACACTCCTGCCCCTACAGCTGCCCTCTGGTTTCCAGGCTCATGCCCACTCAGACCCAAGGCAGCCCAGGGCCTTGAGACATCTTCTCTGACGGCCCCAGGTGGGATCAGAGCTCCGCCCAAACCCCCAGGGCTTCCCTTACCAAACCTCCCAGCACAGGGCCTGCTTCTGTGTGTGAGCTGAATGAGCAGCCAAAGAACAAAGGGATATAGGAATGAGTGAGTGAGTGAGTGAGTGAGTGAGTGAGTGAGTGAGTGAATGAGTGAGTGAATGAATGAGTGAGTGAATGAGTGAATGAATGAGTGAATGAATGAATGAATGAGTGAATGAATGAATGAGTGAATGAGTGAGTGAATGAATGAGTGAGTGAGTCCCACAGCCCAGATTTGAAAAGCAGCTTGAACCTCCCTATCTGGATTTTTCATCTGCAAATTTTCAGATGTTAAAACGCCCCTCCCCGCCTGTCAGGAGATTAAGGGACATGGGATACAAAATCATTCAGCTGAGAGCCCAGCACACAGTAGGTACTTAGTAAATGTCTCTTGTATTCTGCTCAGAAAGTTCTGATGAAACTCAGGAGCCCTGCAGGAGACTTGTGAGAGTCAGGCAGCCCCCAGCTCCCCTGCCAGAACCCCAGGTTTCCCGAGCCCCTCTTTCCTACCGGGAAGCCACCAGTTAGCCTCCTTCCCAGGGTGCAGTGGCTGGACACACCCAGCAGGACCTGCCTCTGCTCATCCTCTGGGCACTGGGGAAC